CCCCCAGCATGAGGTTGGAGAATCAGTGTAAAAGTGTAAAATGATTGATTTCCTTCGAGGGAAACTTCAGTCACACACCGGCAAACGGTCAAACTACATTCTTCACTTGCAATCCCAGAGTTGGACATATTTCACTTTAGCTTAACAGGTTTGACATTATGGGAAAATATGAAGCAGATGACTGTTTGCCGTTAACTTCAGCCTCTATGAAACTTGCTTATAAAAAAAAAAGAGAAGATAAAACATCCCAAACTATGCAGTCCACTTCCTACAGTCATTCTTTAGTTAACTTGTTGTGCAAAGTAATTGATGATGTGATAGTGGCTTCAAAAATGAGAGAGGAAATTATTAAGCAGTATGCAGTCTTGGCCTAATATAAACATCTGGAACGGGAAACTTGCTCATTCCTTTTTCCTGATCTCCGTACTACAAACAGTGACTGCTGATCTGGGGTCAGATCCTGTTAATCCGAAGGATGTTGATGTACTGTGCAGCAGGTTTCTACACGCTTGGGGCTAAAAGGCTGCGGGGTCCACTTCAGGAAACATTGTGACTCTCTTGTGACTGTATTCACAAATGTCGGCATTATGTAACTCATCACAGTTCATTCACGCTTGTAGCATACACTGCAGGGGATTTCTGCCATCTCCTCGCAGAATAGGCTGTATGTCTTTATTCAAGTACTGCAAAGGATTTTTGCTGAAAAAGTAATAAAAAAAAATCTAGTGTCCACCTTCTCAATGAGATGGCATTACACCCCTACATCTGCTCCACACATTCCTTCTGTCTCTGGGAATACCTTGCTGAAGTAGTGCGCATACGGCAAACACAGAAGGCAAACAGTACCGTTTTAAAAAAAGAAAGGAAAAAAAAAGCCTGAACTGACAACAAGATTTCACATATCCTAGCCTGTGAAAGGTTCAGAATAAGGCCTCTGCAAATACAAGACCATAATGGAATCAGCTCATATGAAGAAAAATAATAAAATAACATAATACAGCCAAAATAAAGCAACCAAGTCTGTTCTACCAAGTGAATTCCCAAGCTGAGTGGACGTAGGGCGATGGATTGAATTCCCTCACCAACAACTGTCTGTCACTCTCTGGGATCGGTGAAACCGTCAGTGTTGACACCTCCGTCACCCGATGAGGTAACTGTGTGTGTGTGTTTTGAAAGTCAAGTCGCCTTTATCTAATCCGTCTCCTGCCAACACAGATTGCGGGTTCATTCCCCTTCAATGGTCTGGGTCAACGGCAGGATTCAGGCTGTGTTCCTTTGGTGAGCAAGCAACCCTCCTTTGTCTGTCAGTTGTCCACCTTAACAGGGCCCGAATCACAAGGCCGGCTGGGCACGATGTCCTCCACCTCTCCCCTTGCTATTTTCTCCCACTGGCCCAGGTTCTCTCTGCAAATACAAACCACCTCGATCAGATGCACAGTGGCAAAGATTTCATTTACAAGTGCAGAGGCATGGCTTTGAGTCTGAAATAAGAGAATTAAGAATCACACCAGTACACAAAATTTTCAAATCATGCAAAAATTGCAAAACTACAAAACACACACACACACACACAAAAAAAGGACGAAGTTGATTTGCAAAACAAAACAGTAGCTACAACAGTGGCCAGGCAACACAATCAGTTCTTGTTGTCATGAAGGTGATCTCTCCCCCATGTGCTGTGATTGACACAAGAGTGCAAAAAACCAAAACAAAGCAAAACCTTCCCTTTGCTGCTATTCTATTCAATTAGACAGCCTGATGCAGTTTACACGTCTTTGGCAGATCCCACAACACGCAGCAGGGCTCCACAGGGTCTAGGCCTGTTGCCCACACGGAGCCCGGTGCTGACGTACAGCTGGGGCTTAAGTATTACACTGCTCACTTTGTTTGCATTCCCCACAGATCAAGGACACATTTTATAAAGCAGCAGAAGGGCAGACGAATGTGCAACACAATCCCGTTCAAAAACCAGAAATAACAACTGTAAATACCTTCTTTACACTCTTATCTATTGTGCACGCAGACATGCCCGATGCACAATGTCACACCACACACAGTGACGCACAAAGTTAGCACACTGTAGTCTATATTTATTTTTCATTTAATCCAAATACTTTTTTAAAAAACTCATAACAAAAGTGGGGTCAAACATTAATAGCAGAACATGCCATTTTTTTGTATTTTTCACTGGAATGCTTAAAAACGTGTGCCTGTGCACACAAACCTTATCACCTCTGATCTTACTGGATTAGTACTGTATTAAGGACGGCGCATGCATTACTGGTTACCCTTCAAGCTGCTGTCAGCTCATTTATCGATCACAGCAGAGCAGAAATAAGCATGACAATAACGTGTAAAGCAACATTTAGACTTTGGCGTTTTAGACATTTTTCACAAAAAAAAACAAGAATTATTCATTCACTCAATTTCTTTGTCAACTCTAGCTTTGAATAACTTACTTGCAGGCCTTTAGCAGAGGACCTGATGGAGGAAAAAGCTCAGCAAGTGTCGTGTAACATGGAACTGCAACACCATTGTAGAATCCCACCTTTAAAAAAAATGAGAAAGCAAATGTAAAATGGACTTAATAATAGCAAAACATGTAGCATGTGCTAATATTTGTATATTTGCATTTTTGCCTTTGTACACCACCACAGAGGATTTTAAATCAAGTGTGACTGAAGTGCAGACACGTTGGAAAACTGTTTCATAAACTTGTATAGGAATAAAATACATTTTTATATGTAATCCTCCATTTTTAGAGGCTCAAAGTTATTTGGAGAAACTAACATCATTTTAAATACAAGGACTGTTTTTAGTGCAGTCTAGGACCCATGGACATCATCAAATGCTGTGTTTCCTCCACTGAAATGCTCTGCCTGGCCAGGCCTGTATTCAGTCTTATCTTCAGGAAACTGAAAAGCATGGTCCATTGGATAGAGATTGCTTACTGACTTACCCACTGAGGGATATCCAGTATCTTTGCCTTGAGAAACCTTTGGGCTGCTTTTGCAGTAATCCTGAGGTCATTAGTCATTTGCACAGTGAAGTGCTAGAAAGTATAGCCTCGTACACTTCACAATTCATCCTGCTTTTTCTATCAGCAGTCACATCATCAATAAACAGTCGCAACCTGTTTCCACTCAGAGCCATACACACCCATGCTGTGACATATTCTATACCGTGTTTAACTGAAGATTAGGTCTGCTTTGGCTCATGAGATTTCTCTCCTTCCTCATATTTTCTGTTCCCATCATTCTGGTGCAAGTTCATCTTGGGAATCTCTTGATTGTAGACTTGAGAGTGTTAATCTTGTTAGATGTTATTAACTTGTTTCTCTAAACCATGGAAATAATTCTGCAATCATGCACTTTAGTTGTCGTTTGTGGTCTTTCATATTTTTTGGATTTGCTGATCCCTCCAAACTATTTTTTCCTTTTAAGAATGAACCAGATTTTTGATTTGGCTAAATGTTTTTTGTCTTGTTTTGTTTTTTCAGTCTAATGATGGCGTCCCTCGCTTGCAATGACATTTCTTTAGACTTTATATTTCAAATTATAGTGAAAAGCCAAAAAATGCAAATTCAGCTACAGATATTGTGGCCATTAAACTGTTTAGTTTACAGAAGCCGTGAATTTAATGGAGACTGTTCATAAAAATGGTTGTAATTGCTAAATAGTTTTTAGCAAAAGGTTTCGAAAGCCCCTTGAATTAAAGCTTAAAGTCAACACTTCAATCAACTATTTATTGTTTGATTTAAAATCCACTGCCGTGGTGTACAGAAGCAAAACTACAAAAGCATTGATTCAACAGTTCCTATGCTGTTCTTTTAAAATATATTTCCCATCAGAAGGCCGAACATTCATTAAATATTTAAAGCAGTTAAAACACACGAGTAAATGTCTTGCTCTTACTTGGCCTTGGGGAACCTCGTCCTTCTTGTCTCTGTCCATCATAGGGATCGGCTGGATCCCAATCTTCTTCATCTCATCTCCCTGTGGAGTAACAAAATAACAAGATAACGTGGCTTTTATTTTTGCACACTGTGGTTAAGTCTCCTGACCACTAGACAACACGATGTTGTGCCTTACAAATTGTAAGTTGAAGCAGCATTTATGAGCAATAATAGAGGCCAGACTGTTACACTGGAGGCATAATCATGACACTGAAACTGTTTAAAGTCTAACAGTATCCCACTGTACCTCAGCCCAAAACTCAGCATAGATGTCGTTGGCTGTGAGTCGTGTGATTTGCCACTGCTTGGTAACAGAACACAGGTCACATGCTGTCATCATCAGACCAATCACACGGTCCCTGGAGGGGAGCAAAGCCTTGTTATATCCATGCAGGGGGGAAGGACTCAATGTGCTGTTTATGTGCGCCAGGTCTAACATTTCACAGCGTGATACTGATGAGACCTGGTGTGGTCCTGACCTGACCTGTGCCCCAGTGTGAGTCGTAGCCTGACCTGTGGGAATGGTTGTTCAAATCCAGCGCACATGAGGTCAGCATCTCCGACAGCTGCTGGTGGTTGTTGAAGTAGAGGGCGAGGTCTGTGGCGATGATGGCCTTTCGAATGATCTCCAGCACCTGCTCGTACTCGCTGGAAGTCAGGTTGGAGAAAATATTGTGCCCTTCCAGCTATGAGAAACAAAGAGATCAATAAAAAAGCAAAAGCTCCACTTATGAGGCATTCAGCTAGACTACAACATCTTGCAAACATAAGTTCATCACAGGGCTACAGCCCAAACTAGCAGATCCTGCATGTTACAAAAGACACCTTGCAAGACGCTAATCAGAACTAAGTCATATGATCCTGTGAATGCATATGTAACTGACAGTTCGTATAAGGATTCGTTATCTAATATAGTAAAATATTTTTTGTTTGTTCTAAGCTGATGACATTGTTGCAGAACCAGATGGAACATTTTTTATGGGTATTTTTTAAATTCTGATCCTTTTTCTGTTTTGCTGATCAAGTTATTTTCATTTCTTTGTCCAGTGAAGTATACTATTTAGGCTACAGTCACACTAGGGGAAATGGTGCCTGGAAACTGTAGCACTAACCCAAATTATTGTAACCACGTGCAATGAACTCTTGTTCCCTTTGACCTGCCTCGAAGACAGACACGAAATCTCGCAGTCAGTAGCCATCTTCAAAGTGACTCGTATCCATCAAGAAGTCGATAAAACGGGAATGAGACGGAGTGAGTCTGCTGTCATTCTGCTGTCTTATGAATGGAATCACGGTGGCGATCTCATACAATCTGTTTGGGATAATTTGGCTATTAGCTGTCATCTGGACCGGTTGAGTCCACAGATGTGTCACAGACAAGTTATTGGCGCATACTGACTCCAATTTATTGCAGCGTGTTGGCAATTTGTCCACATTAATAAATTAGGAGGCAATTATTGTTTGCAGTCAGTCCAAAATGGAGCGCAGTTGTTTGCCTCCCACCAGGCAACGTGTGCACTCACCTTGTGATCAAACACAGTTGCCCAGAGGATAAGAGTGTAATCGTAGTTACACTCAAGCTGTGTAATTACCTTTGAAACTGGTTGCAGAATTTGAAACAAATTCGTTGCAATAACTTGGCAACCACTGATCTTTTTTCCAAGTCACTGCGAGGTGCTTTCATATTTTTACTCTAGTGTGACTGAGCCATTGAGTAATAGGTTCTTTATTTCCTATTAAACACTTGTGGAAATAAGATTAAAGGTTAACATGTTGATTTTCAAGGTACCCTAAATTCTGTATTGTGGATCTCTACCTGCAAGATAGAAACAGTCTGAGAGAAGTGGTGCTGCTCCATGGTGGAGGTTGAGTACAGAGCAGCCAGTGGATGGTCAAACTTCTGGAGGTAGGCATTGCTATACCCCCGATGGTCCAGATCATGGCAAAGACAGGCTATTAGCAAACCCTTCTTCTGTAAAATGGTGGGCAAATAAAAACACATTTTCTTGAAAGCACACAGTGACAGCAGATGTTGATCTTGTTTCCAGTTATTTTCCTAGCAGACCCAACAAGAAGCAAACCTCTAGCTCTGTGAAGATCCCAGAGGTTTTCTGTAGGATGGCGTACATACAGTGTGCCACCGTCACTGCGTGCTTCCAGTTGTGGTAGGGCACACGGCGGTAGTTCTTCTTTACGGACATGGTGAACCGGCACAGCTTCTCCAGCTCAAAGCTGTATTAAGGGGAAAAAAGGGAAAGAAACTGGTAGTGGATGTTTGTTTATTTACTATTTATTCCATTTAGTTTCTTGTTGTTTGAGTCGTAGGTTTGTGTAAACAATATTGCTGACGCTACCTGGTCTTTCCACAGGAGTTATGAACCATGTAGATAAAAATGGCAGGCCAGATCTCCTCAAAGGGACTGATGTCAAAGTGGAACCTGGAGGAGGGAGCAAAAGGTTTAAATTAACATGATCAGCAGATCTGGGAAAAGGAGACAACATGCAGATTAAGGGACTTCTGAGATCTGAGAGTTTTAAACTGACAGGTTGACATCTATAGGACACGGCCCTTCCTGCACTGTGTTTGTGTTTGCACTCTTCTTGCAGGGCGACACAGTCCAGGTCTGCGCTGTGTCATTGTGCCTTTCACAGACATGTGGCTGTACACTCATGTCTACTACACTCAAGGTCAAAACATGAGTTCCCTAGAAGGCCGCCAGAGGAGGCACTCACATTTCAATCTCTTTATAAATAGGTGCAGGGAGGTTGAGCTGGGTGAGGGTCTTCCATTCTTCTGATGTGCAGATGCTGTGATAAGACAGTTTCTCCATCGTCACTCTGTAAATGCATTCAGAGTGTCGGATCCTGTGGTACATCTGCAGGGAAATCACAGACCTGGAATAAGTCTTTAAAATGCCAAGTGAGAACTTGAACACTGCTATACATACCACAGAAATGTTGTTTATAATATCAATGTAAAATTCTATCAGTCTCTCCAGTGAAAGTTAAAGTTGTAGTCTCCAAATAGCATTTCCACATCTGGTTTGCATCCCTGTCCTCAAGCTAGATGTTCATGTAAAGGCCCAAGGCATCACACCTTCACCCGTAAATCACTTTGAGTCAGAAGCAAGCCAAAGTTAGCTTCCCAGAGACACGAGGCATAAATTACAACTAAACACAAATCCTGTCACTGGACGGATGCAGACCTCGCATCTTAAAATATTAACATCTCGCATCAATTTTAAAAGCAAGTTTGTGACGCTGCTCATGCGTAAGTTTGTCGCAAGCGATGACAGTGAGTCAGGCCCCACAGCGAGGACACGCTATGACAGACAGGCCACACAATGCAGGCTTTGAGAGTTAGCATGATTCATGAAATGTTTGTGTTACATGTAAGGGATAATCACCCGGTGATTATGCATTTTTACAGCACTGCACACTTTAAATAGAAACTGCACTTTATTCGTTTGACTGTGATTTTTGGTTGCCGATGAAGCCGCCACGTCAAAGTTGGAGTTATGTCAAAATAAGATGGTTAAAATTGAGCACTCGTGGCCTGGAGGTACGCCATACATACAATGTTCTTATAATGTATGTAGATTGAAAAGTGTGTGCGGGAAGATATCAAGTCAGTGGGGTATGCATTTGCAGTTAGACAACACTAGTTAGTCTTTTAAGAAGTGTAAGACTAATTTGGTGTACTCACATTTGCACAGTGTAAGGCCAGAGCACAAAAGACAGCAAACATCTTAAAGTTGTTCTCATCTGTTTTAGTGAAGGCACTTCCGCTTAACTTGTTCACCATCTGCACCACACCTATAACGGTCCCCCTGCTCACAATGGGCATGCACAGAATGTTCCGCGTGGTGTAGCCAGTTTTCAAGTCCACCTCTCTGTTCAAAAAGACATAGTTATGTTGATTTTGTCAGCTTATCTTGTGACTCATACATTGTAGCATGTTTGTGTTTTAACTGCTTTTGCATACTGAAAGGCTCCATTAAAAGTAGTAGTATCTTAGCACCGGTCTTATGCATACAACTGAATAAGCAAAAGTAACTGAAGCAGAACTCTTCAGTAGCATTATTTAAGATATTTATTTAATGTAAAAGTAAGTAAAAATGGCTTAGAGCCTGTTTTACCTGTTGAACCGTGGGTCTGCATAGGCATCTGGGATATTTAAGACTTCCCCTGTCCGAGCCACTTGGCCAGCTATTCCCTTGTCTATAGAAAACCTACACACAAAAACAAGGAGAGAGATAATCTGCATTTAAACTCAGTAATAAATCACCAATACGGAAATTAATTTAGGACATTTGCAGTCCAAATTGTAAACCATTGCAGATTTGAGAACAGCAAAAAATCTGTGGCAGTGATACACAATGTGTTACTGAACATGCCAAAAATAATTAAAATAGCTTTAATTTTTTTATGTGATTTCACTGTGTATTTATTTACTAATTTCTTTTCCTATTTACTGTTTTATTGATTAAAATAAATGTTAAAATAAATGAAAATTTAAATAAGACAAGTATTATGAATTGTAAAAAGATACAGACATAAAAATGTTATTTAAAAATGAAAAAAATAAATTGGAAAAAAAAATATGCAAACAAATACATGCATGTATACATACAAATGAAAAAATAAGCTATATGAATACATATAGGTATATGAAGTTTAAAACTTAAAGATGAAAATTCAAACAATTCTGCTTTTAACAGAATATGAACTCATTTATGTAATTAATGTTTCTTCTTTATTTTTTTTTCAATTTAGCAGCTTAGATGCTGCAAAATAATACTCTACTATTCCATTGCTATTTTTCTACTGCATATACTTTTTATTACTTTAGCAGATTTTGTCACAGGAGGCCAGTAGAATATTTTAAACGGTGCGCTCTGAACATAGGATCAAAAAGTGAGTCATGTCTAAAAATAATAAAATCATCACACTGAGCACACTAAAGCAAAAAAAAAAAAAAAAGTGTACATACCTAATTTCTTTGGTTTTCCTAAAGACAGGTTTGCCTTCTTTCTCTTCCCCAATGTCGAACAGGTCAGAGTATAGTTCTTTGTTATTGTGATCTACCTGGAAGAGTGCACACCTGTCTGCATTCACCAGGTTTTTTGCATATATCTGTAAAAAACAAAAAAACATCAGGGACAGAATCTTATTAACAACACTGGGGACTGACAAGAACTTGGGAGTTACATCTATCAAAGCAGATAAAACACTGCTGGTTTAAGTGATTCGGGACTGAACAGTTAAATGAGGAGAATTATAAAAAAGCAAAAACTACAAGTCATCCCCTCTTATTTTAGTGCTCGAACCAGATGACTTGAGTTAAGACCACAGTCACAAGGCAACCAAAAACATACAAAAAAAGAAGCAGGTTTTAGTAAAAGAAGCAGGAAAACCACATTTTACACTTGCCTGTTTTAGATGTACAAAGTACCGTATTGATTTGGACTGAGCCAAGTCAATACATTTATTTAGTATTACTATGTATCTAAAACTAATGTAACCACTTAATTATTTAAGAATAATCATTATGAGCACGCTATTATTTTTAGAAAGTGATAGGAGTGAATCTGTGTTACTGCGGCATTGCTAGTCTTTTTAACAGACATGATTTAACACACACTCCCAGGATGTGTAGCCTTGAGGACAATGTGAATGAACACGTACTTGCAGAAATCACACTCACCATAATATGTTCAAGTAGAGAATCTATTGCCACAATGTTATCAAAGTATGTTCTGTGCGAAAAGAAGAAATGGCGCATTGAGATGTTTGACAAATGGGAAGCTCTGATGACGTTCACATTCAAGACATGAAAGCTAGGTTGCCTAAAATGTAGTAATCTCTTTTATCGTGTGGGCTACAAGTTTTATGTTATCACAGCCGTGCTGTGAGGACAAGATACTTATTAGACCAAACAATATTCACTTTGTGTATCAGTTATTTGGTGTTAGGGAAACTGTAACAGGAGCAGCTCTTACTTTGATACGTCTAGTAGGAAGTCGTTGAGCTCAGTCTGTTTGGCGAGGCCTCTGCACACCTAGCAACAAGGAAAAAGACGTCACGAGTGAGTACACAAACGTATCAAAAAATTTCCCAGAGAATAGAGAGCAGCTAACCCAGGAGTGCAGGGCTGCACTGCTCACACAGGCTCAGAGGTCCATTGTGGCCAGAGCTGCAGTGGGACGCTGCTTCTCTGAGGTGTTATGCTATCTGTTCATATAAAAACAGGACTGGGGCATAATGACGTCCCTGGGGAGCTATTTGTTGAAACTACGGCTCAGTTGATTGGACTGGTGTCGGTGACAACTCAGTTCTTGTACACAGTGGATTTAACCATTAAAAACACAGGTGCAGAACCAGAACAAACAAAATCATTCGAGAACATACAGTAATAAGTGGAGCAGGTAGGATTCGCCTTTTCCCCTGACAAGTCTTCAGTGAGTTACTGTATACTGTATCTGTTACACACTCAGTTTTCAGTTCTGCTTCTCCAGAGGTTTGCTCACCTGCACTTGATGAATAGCAACTGATGCCCATGCTAAATTAGCTGTAGCAACCTGGAAAAGAAAGCAAGGCTTAGCTCCAAAGAACTGCAGTACAAATACTATTGCAATTTACACATTAAGTCACACCGTGCAGGTTTAATCTGTGCTTATCACATTTTCTCACTACGACACAATCTCAACGTAATTATCTGTTCTACACATCAGGCAGTCTCATAATCACAGAAGAGCTAGTTACCCCACAAACTCAGCACAACTCTGGGAACTCAGGCTCAAACCTGCTGCATCTCTATTGTATATTTGCATTTAAGCAATGAAATGAAAAATAAAAGCTGCAACACAAGTTACAGAAAAGACCTTCACTGTCCACATGTGATTAAAAAGGGGACAACAACTCCTGAAAATAACAGCAGGACTTTGCAGGTTTAAAAAGCATGTCAGCGTTCAGCTCATTATTATGAGGTTTTGACTTGCACCTTCAGTGTTTTGCAGTAGTTTACACTGTACATTAATTCAATATGGCAAACCACTAAACACAATAAAACAATAAAAAATTAAAAAATGCCAAAAAGCGTTATTAATGTGTAATAAGCAAATAGCTACCTGTTGAGCCCCTTTAAAGTATATAAAAACAAACTGATGCAGGTTTAAACTATGCTGACTTTTACAAGCTGTTCACATATCGATTATATCTACACGATGACCAGAAATGAAAAGAGCATTTTAAATGCTCTGCATTTTAAATTTGATCTTTAAAGCTTATACACCCTGCCTACACCTGCTTCAACATTCTCTATATGTAAAGCCATTTTCCAGCTCAATGCACTGTTGTTCACAGAAAGACTTTCATCTGGAGACAAATATACCCCTTTATATATTTTTGACAATAAAAATGAAGCCCACAAAGCTAACAGAGATCTCAAACAGATCCAGATTAAGGGTAATACCAGGCTAACTGTAGTTCTGTGAGCCTTGCTTCAGCCTCCCACTCTTGGTGTGTTTTGTCTGGGTCAGACTGACCTCCTGGTGGCTGAGGTTGAAGGGCTCCTTGCCCCAGTGCCGGTGAAGCTCCACGATGGCAATGAGGTCCCCGATGGCAGTGACGATGGGGAGGCACAGGACAGAGTGAACATGGATCCCTGAGTCCTGCCCTGTGCCGTCGGGGAATCTCTCGTCCTGCAACACAAAGACCAGCGAAGAACATTATCACCTGAACTGCACAGGGCGTATTAACTGATGAAGATTACAAAGAAACTCCTGTTTCTAAATCTGTTGCTATGAAAAGTACGCCACATGTGTCTCATGCGCTTGTTTTCTTAAGAATTTCACTTTGACACACACTCACAGAGACACACACACACACCTTATAATAAAGTTAAGGCTTCTTTAAAGCTGAACCTGATTTGTTTTGACTTTTAAACTTGAAGAGTTTCCACTACAGTGTGCCTGTGCTGATATTTCCCTGAATTCTGAAGCTTCTTCTTATACCTCCTTTGAAATCTGCTCCCGTTCAAAGTGTGAAGTGTAAATCAAAAGAGGGATAATTTATTATGTGTAACTAAATGAAAATACTGGCAAAAGCATAACTGGATAACAAACTAAATGCCCCAATACATAAATACTCATCATTTGCCTAATGAAGCAGAAATATTGAAGGAAATGAGAAAAGAAAATGACGACAAACGAGGGAAAATAAACTGAGGCAACACAAAAGAAACATTTGCAAAAATTGCGCTAGACTAATTAAACATATTAAAAAAGGAGAATTAATGCAAAAGTACATTCACACAACAGCAACATCCAAATAAATCATAATAATTACTTAAAGAATGCCTACAATAAATTTAATATATTTGATCACTTAACAAAATATTAATTCATTAATTAGTATTGACTAATTTACCTTTTGTTTCATATATTTACTCCTATTATGATTATTTTTTAATATCTTTAGTTTGACAGTGTTGAGCACATTAACCCAATGAGACCAATAAGAAAGAATTATTTCATTATATGTTTATAGCTACATAAAGTAGTCAAACACTAGATGCACTGAAATGTTACACTGTTGATGGATGACAGCCACACATACCCCCATGACGTCCTCTACTAGCAGTGTTTTGCGAGTCTTGGCAACATGAGCGGCAATGGTTGTCCCAAATGCGATGGGGCCAGAGGGGATGAGGGATGGAGGCCCATCCTTGGCCGCCGTTGGAGTGAATAAACATAAACTCTGTTGAGAAGAACAGACAAGAACAGGAAGTGAAGCACAACTGGAGAAAAAAGGAACATATACACAGAGATGCATCAGTAAAAAAACAGAAGAAGTCAGAACTCACATTGTTGCATTCTCCCAAGAAGTAAAGTGCAAATCCATCAGCTTTAGTTGCTGCAGGAAAAAAAAAAAGAGACACAGATGTGCAGAGCAAGTGACTAAAATACAATCTGGCCAAATGCTGCGAATGTGTAATCAATCAATCAATCAATCAATCAATCAATC